TTCCCTCTGTTGTCAGGTTGACAGTAGACTTGATAGCCCTTGGGATTCAAGAGAAAAGACTGTGGCCTTCAGCTTTGATTACTGCTACTGGTCAGCTGATCCTGAAGATCCGAAATATGCATCTCAGGAAATGGTGAGTGATCCTGTTCTTCATGTGTGTGTTCTCATCCTGTTTTGTCCTTTTCAGGAAGAGATATGGGATACATGATATTTCGTTTTCTTTTCTGCTCCCATCTTATTTTGTTTGTAATATCACAGTGCTCAGTCCTTTTGTCTTAAGTAGGTGCAGTAGGACTTCAATACCCTTGTTTGTCACGTAATGCATGCTTTCATTAGGCATATTGACTTTGGTAGTGATCATTAATTGTGATGATCTGAGGACTCTAGCTTAGCAATGAGATTTTTTTAGGGGGGGTGAAGGGTCAGCTTCTGGATGGAGAAAGCTCTGAAGTGAAGACTTGAGGTGATTCTGTTTAGAGCATCAGGAGTGAAGTATCAGTACTTCATCAGGAGTGGAGTATGTAATGGTACTAAATTTTACTTATACTGTATTGTTCTGAGCACTTTTCCTTGGTTATCATCAGAAATACAGTATAACTGATGGAGATTCCTCCCAGCTTGACAAGCCAAGATTGGATGGTTAAGAAAGAAGAGGATTCAGTAATAAAATAGGATATGATTACAAATTTTTGTTAGTAAACAATGAATTATTAAGTCTACAACAAATGAATATAATGCACAACAAATCTATCAAAAAATTTTGCTATGCATGCATGCCATCCCGTGTCAGCATTAAAATAAGTTTTTACTCCCATTTTCAGAATTGCATAATTTCATTTTTGTCTGTTGTCTGTACCATTGTTCCTGAAATTTCAACCTGTATAATTGTGTTTTTCACAGAAGGTATCACTTAAGACTGAGGTAGTTCTGTGAAATTTGTGTTTCTGGTAGTGATGGGCAGAGGATTATTTAACTTTTGGTAGTCAATATGGAAATTATCAGAAATTAAGGTGACTGTGCTCTATTTCCACCTTGGTGCAGTCGTGTGGAAGAGATTTTGGGAACTTGGGAAGTGTAAAGTGGGCTTTTTTAAGTACTTGGCACTAGATAAACTTCCATTTTAGGAATTACAAACAACAAATCTTTAAATGTTGAGCTGTTGGGATTCCCTTCCATCCCTTATATTGTCTTACTTGCTTATTTTGATTGTATGTTCTTTGTGAGTTTCTCTCGTAGTACACTTAGAATCATGCTTCTTAGGACTGTTGACAATACAGTTGGCATTCTAGCTGAAATGGTTTAGCAGATGAAGTGTTGATAAATACAGTCTGCCAAGTCAGTTTCATATCTGCTCAGTATGAAAAATTATCAGAACTGGCAAATGGAAAATATAAATATTGGCTACAAAGTGTAATTTTTTTTGTTCTTTTTGTTATTAAATGCAAGTGCAATTGGAAAAGAATGTAAAATGCAATGTAAACAGTACAGCTTCCTTGCTGGGGCTGAGTAGGTGTTTCAGATGCTGTGGAGAGCCTTGTGTTATCACACGATACAATTTTGGCCAATAAAAACACTGAAGAGGGAAACATGAACTCACTGGCCAAAGGAAATTAAGTAACGGGCCATAGTTTCCTTACTGGTGCCTGATACTGGCTGAAAGGACATCCAGTGCTTCTTCACGTAACCATTGGGCTACCAGCCTTAGCCAGATGTCTCTCTTGAGTTAAGACAAGTTTAAAGGTGGACTGGTGCTTTGAAAGGCCGCACTCATGAGTGAATTTCTTGGGCTTTTTACCCATCTTGGTGACTGTAGAGCCAGTAAAGCGTACTGGAAATGTCCTTGAGAAGAGGGCTGCTGGAATACTGCAGTTTTACCATGCTTGTGCATTTGTCTGCCCCGTCACACTGTATGAATGAAGTTTATTGTACTAATTCCATGGTTTGAGTCATTACTTCAGTGCTGAGTTTGAAGTTTCTAAGCTTCCTTACAGCAACGATGCTATCAGCAGCCAAGGGGGGTTTGGTAACATCATCCAGTAAAAGCTTTCTTTCATAAGCTGACCTTGGATTACTTTTTCCTTGAACATGTCCTGCCAACTGTTATCATACGTGATTGATATATTGGTTGAGGCTGAAAAGCAGATTAAAGTATCTGCCTTTGGGTTCACTTTTGTAGAATGCTGTCTTTTACTAAACTGGTTTTTTGGTCATCCGGATGGACATATAAAAATTAAGTCATAACAGCTCATTTGGTTGTTAAGGATTCTGTGACAACAAAACAATAGTGGGAGGGTTGCAAATCATAATGTTTAGGTAAAAATATTATTTTAAAGATACCAATCTGCTTACCTGAATACTTCATGAAGATTCTTCTAGATACTAACATTGTTCACTTCAGGTTCTGATCACTTGTGTTCCAGAGATGACAGCACACAATGCATTTTATTCTGTATATATTTTGGTCATATGCTTCACAGTTACTTGTGGCAGGCTGGAGGCACACATGGTTAAGTACTTTCAAATGCTTGGATGAATATTTCAGATTTATTGTTATATATATATAAAAATTACATTTTCTCTGCCACTTGTGTTCTGCTTGCATTTCTATTTTGGCAGATACATGTTGCCCACCTTGTTTGTTTTTCCTAATGCATTCCTATTAATATTTCTGCTGTTGCCTTCTTTTAATTTTTTAAAAAATAAAAATGGTAGGGAAGGTATTTTTTCACTTTAATTTGAGGAGAGCAGGCCTTGCAGTACAGTAAACCAAAAAAGAACTGACCCAGTTCAGTAAACTTTGCAATGCCCATGCGACAGATGATATGCCTTTACTTTCTTTTATTTTTTTAATAGCATCAAAACTAGAAGTGCTTTTTCCTTCAAAAATCTTGAGAAAAAGAGTCAAATATAAACTATTTTTGAGTACTATTTTTGAGGTTTGCTAAAGCCAAAGCTTTTCTGCTAAAGACAAAGCTGCTTTTTTTTACTATTGAAAGAAGAACTCATCACTATTGATGTCCAGGAAACAGGTTTCTTAATAGAGACAACCTCTTAGGTAGTGGTTGGTTTTGGAAGATGATTTCAGGTACAAGTGAGTAGTTTTTCACTGTTATTCAAGATTTTTCTCTCATTTGAAACATTTGACGAACTAGGTATGAGCCAGAGTGCCAGTTTATTTTTTTTTATTTCTCTCCTAACTGTGGTGAAATATGAAGATATACAGCGTTTCTAATGATGGCTTATAAAAGCATAATTTGAAGTCTAATAGTAGTGGTGGTCTGAATTTTTAGTCTTCCTTTTAGGAATTACGTAAATTCCTTACAAAATGCAAGCATTTTGGTATAGTTCAGCTCTGCTGGTAATATATTCACTTTCCAAATAAGCTGAATGCCAAATTTTACACTATGACCTCTGGCTTTTAGGCGGCCAATTTGAGATCCTTGGGCCTGCTGCTTTTTTCTTTTTCTTCCCCTCCCCTGCCCTCACTGGTCAGTTGAATACTTCACATTGATATTAAGCTGAGGTTTTCATCTGCTTTCCATGCAATTCTTTCCAAAGCAGAATCTACCTTCTCCTTTTAAAGGCCTTTTTAAATTTTTTTTTTCTCTTTTAGCCCTGAGTGGATTTATTGGTGTATAAACAGAATAGAATCAAAAAATACTTTAAGGGATGAGTCAGTGGCTAAATCACCCAGACCCACAGGAACTAAAGGAAGAAGGAAAGGAAACGTGTGAAATCCTTCTAAATATGGAGAGATGAACCAGACACTAGGGATATGTGACAGAGGGAAAGAAACTTGGGTATCAGAAAATTGTGTGGGACCAGAGAAAGAACAGGAACAAATCAATATTAATTCAGGACAGGAACAGAACATTCAGTGGGCAAAATATGAAATGGGAAACAAAAGGAAATTCTTAAAGATCATAGGCATTTAAGAGGAAAAAGGTCACGCATGGCTTTTCTGATTTTTAACTCTGCAGCCTGCTTACATATGTTTTCCATGGCTATAAATGAGGCAATGGTTTTCCAAACCATTGCTGTCAAGATATAGTTAGAATAAAAACAAACAAAAAAGAAGAATAAACTCAAAAGAGAAAACCAACTTCAACTGAAAAAAACCCAAACCTTCCATCCCCCAAAAACCCACAAGAAACTGTAATACTTCTGGCAATATTCCTTTACGTACCATTTTTTGAGCCAACCTGCTGGTTTTTCTCTGTGCCGTGTTGCTGCAGAATTAACTTAATCTCAAGGAGGCAGAATGCTGAGTTTCTGCCCCTGGACTTCACTGCTTGGACACAGTGAAGTAGTTTCATCATTTCTTCATGGGTTTTTTTGGGAGACGAATTTGGTATCATAAAAAACCTTTAGTAAAGGGGGAGCAGTAAAAGTGGTTGCTACTTCTTTCTCCCCCACCCCCTCCCGCCACAGATGTCTTCAGGAAGCTGCGTGCAGTTCAGGATTGTTTTCCAAAGACAATGTTGGAAATCCATCACTCTTTGCCCTTCTATAACTATGAGATTATCCTTTAATAGAAGTATATTCATGACATATTTTCATTTTGCAGTAAAAATACAGTGTGGTAATGGCATTATAATGCTATTTAGGGTTATAATTTTTATTCTTATAGGCATATTCAAGCTTGCTGATTGATTCTGCTGGTTGAATATTATAATTTATATGTAGGTGCTTTGAGACCTTTACAGTTGTTCCTCAAACAAGCATCTAAATTTAACCTTATTTAAATTCTTTTTTTTTTGTCTAGCATAGAACGAGGTTTCAATCTTTTGAGTTTCCTTTGTAAAACTTAAAATAGCTCTTCATGAATCTTTCTCCAAGTCTTATTTTTGCTCAACCAAGCAAAGGAAAATGTTTAAAGCAGTTGTAAAACTTCAGTAAATTCCCACCAAGAAAAGAACTAAAATCAGCTTGCTCTAATGCAAGCACAATTCAACAAAATCTTAAGGGTATTCTTCATGAGAATCAGGGCTACAGGAACAGATGCAAGAGTTAAGTCTATTTGTAGCTGGTTGTTACAGCTTCAGTCCTCAGCTTCCCTCCAGCCATCCTACCCATCCGGTGATTGTGCTGGCGCTGTACCCACGCGGGCAGCCTAACCCACAGGATGTACGG